TTAGAGCAAGTTTCCTAGGTTATGATTTATAACAACCGCTGACAACCGTTAGCCAGTGTGTCAGGGGAAATGAACATGAAACACTCCACAAGTGGGCTATATCACTGCAATAAAACCTCAACTTTATAACCTAAGGTTAGATTCTAAACCATGAGACTCCATTATGGGTGGGTCAGGGGAAATGAACATGAAACACTCCACAAGTGGGCTATATCACTGCGATAAAACCTCAACTTTATAACCTAAGGTTAGATTCTAAACCATGAGACTCCATTATGGGTGGCTATACATGACCTTTTAATAAAGCAGGCTATCAGTCATCTAAAAAGTGACAAGGAAACAAACTGCAGTTCAAATCCATTGGGAATATCTTTGGATCTCTGATCCTCTGAGGGGGATAGCAGCTAAGTCTTAGAAGAAAAACTATAAACACACAAAGGGACCTATCTACGCACAGGGATATGCTGTTTCCCCCCTTTTAATCTAAATTTATCATGACCTGTTTCTCACCTAAAATATTTTTTTTTAGCACCTATCTCATGAACCACCAAGAGCATTTAAACAACAGTATTTTTTTTAAGCCCACGATGACAACTGTAACTGCCAAGTACGTGATAGAAGAACATGTGAACAGATTTTATTTTCATCTCAAGAATATTTAAATTGTGGGGGGGAACTTCAGCTTTTATTGTTAGAATTTGACATGTTTCAAACGTGATAAAGGGATCACTGTCATCAAACAAAAGTCCACCTAGTAAAGTTTTAGGTGACCAGTGACTTTGTCAATTACATCTGCTGGTCCTGGCCCAATTCCTAGGACAGTTCGAGAGCCTGGTGCAATCTGTGTACGTCCAGCATCTTGGATTAAACTTACAGTCAGTCCCAGCATTTTCGCATGGGTCAATAATTCAACCAAGGTTTCTTCATCAGGGGCTTTGACCACTACTTTGGGCTGGCCACAGTATTCCCACTGTTTTAGCACTTCAGGGTTTCTCCTTTGAATTTGCTTATAGGCAGAAACTGCAGCATGAGCACACTGGGCAGCCACTTTTCCTTTTCCCATCTTCAAGTCATTTCGAACCACAAGAATCATTTTGTACTCTCCACTCTCTCCCAAGATGCTTGCTTCAGTTCCAGTCTCTGTGTCTATCTCACTTGTCAGTCTTTTGGGGAACATCCCAAAACGTACTCCGAGGCTCCAGCCCAGGCACATGCCACAAACAACTCCAGCAGCCAAGCTGAGTGTACCAGGGTGAGCCAAATACTCCATAAGCAAGGATCTGGAGAACATCTTGAGGAAAAGGAAAAAAGTTATCACTACCTAGCACTGAAAAGTTATAGGCTTATCAGATAAACACTTTCTAGGCAGCAAGCAACATTTTTGAACTATATAAAGTCATTCAGAAAAAAGGCAAAATAATAGTTTACATCTTATGCATGTATCCTGTTTTTCACCCTTCTCTACCCGCTGTGTACTAGAAAAGATTCAAGCATCCACATGAAGCAGTTTAGGTCATTTTGAACCTTGATGTGACTAAACACATCAAGTTCAAAATTTCTGTTCCTTACCCTACTAAATCTTATGGAGAAAGGAAATGTAATGTTTTACCAAGATGTCTAAAAGATCTAGAGAAACCTAAAATAACTCACCCCTCTTCTCCAATACAGTGCTTATTCATGTTCTCATAATGCAGTGGTTCTCAATGGAGATGGTACCAAAGAAGGTCTCCTCAGAAAAACCTCAGAGAAGTTTCTGTTGTCACAATAATTGGCCAGGGGTGAGGTGTGCTGACATTTACTAGGCCTGAGCAAGGATGCTAAAAAATCTTGCAAAATGAAGAGTTGTCCTGTTGGACATTAGTGCAGGTAAGAAACTATTAACACATGAGATTAGACCCCAACTTCATTTTACATATGAACACAAAGTAATTTTTGCAGTTTGAATATATACATGTTTGACTTTGCAAGATGGGGTTACGTCTCATAAACCCACTGTAAGTTAAAAATATCCTACATTTAATACACCGAATCTACTGATCATCATAGCTTAGCTTAGCCTACGCTAGATGTGCTCAGAACACTTACAGTAGCCTACAGCTGGGCAAAATCATTTAGCACAAGGCCTGTTTTATAATAAAGTGTTGGCTATCTCATGTAACTTTTTGAATACTGTGCTGAAAGTGAAAGACAGAATGGTTGTAGGGGTACTCACTATCAAGGCACA